TAGGCTTTAGTTAATGGTCTTTTTTTTTTAATTTAATTTTATTTGTGAACATACTTACAGAGGGGTTACAATTACATGGGCAGGATAATGCGTACATTTCTTACCAAGCATTGCAGCCTCCTCCTTTTGTTTATCCTTCACATCCCTTCCCAGCCTCCCCCCTTAGTTAATGGTCTTAATATCAACATTGGCTCATCAACTGTAACAAAGTCACATTAACACAAGTTATTGGTAACAGGAAATTCAAGAGTTACAGGGAGGGGCTGGGAAGGTGGCTCAGTGGTAGAGTGCTTGCCTTGCATGCCTGAGGCCCTGAGTTCGATTCCTCAGCACCACATAAGCAAAAAGAAAAAAGCCGGAAGTGGCGCTGTGGCTCAAGTGGTAGAGCGCTAGCCTTGAGCTGAAGAGCTGAGGGACAGTGCCCAGGCCCAGAGTTCAGGCCCCACGACCGGACCCAAAAAAAAAAAAATATATATATATATATATATATATATATATATATATATATATATATATATATATAGTAAGAATTCTGTCAAAGACCTATGCCTACTGTCATCAATTAGTACATTAATTTTAAGTGATTACTAAGAAATAGAAATCTATTTTTATTTTAGCCCTAATCTATTTTAATAAAATAGATTCAGAAATGGTTCCTAGACATCAAAAAAGGCTGCCAGATTCACATCTACAATTAGAATTACAAGAGTGCAACTTGCAAAAGAAAGCCATCAGTCATTCTTTGTGAGAAAATAAAACACATACATCTGCAGTGTGTCTTTCCATACTGCTGGCTTGTTAGCAAGGGCAGAGCAGGGCTACTACAAATACAGCCCGGCTAGCTCTTATGTTAAGTTTGGTATCTATTGCATTCTGTATTTCCACAGTTTGGGAATAAATCAGATTCCTGCCTTTAAGGCAATTGAACTCTAATGTCCGCATCTCTTTAACACAGCACATTTTTAGAATTTTTTTTAATAACTAGAAGAAAATAAGGCACTCTCCAGCATACTTGTCATTATACAAGGTCCCCCTGGATAATCCGATTTATACATATGACTTCAAACACCATTCACATACTAGTGACAATCATACTTATTTCTCTATCCCAGTCCTGCAAGGACAATCTATAGTTAGGAGCCTAGTAGCATTCACAGTTGGCCTGGACAACCACCACTCACTATGTATGAAGTGGAGTACCAGGGGTCATACAACAGTATTGAATGTTTATTGACTATATGCCAGGCACCGTGCTAAATGCTTTGTGTGAATTCTTCTCACTTAACTTCCACAATGCAATTACTTAATAGTAATGTATCAATATTCATAATTATAACATATGTATAATATTATGCAAAATGTTAATAAAAGTAAAAAGGAGTTAAGAATATGTAGAAACCTCTCTTCTATACAATTTTTCTCTGGATACACTGTTACTAAAAATAAAGCATATTTTAAAAGTGTAAACTAGCGAAGTATGTGTGTGTGTGTGTGTGTGTGTGACAGAGAGAGAGAGAGAGAGAGAGAGAGAGAGAGAGTGTTCCTAGGGCTTGAATTCAAAGCCTTATGCTTTCTAAACAGATGTTTTTCTAGTTAAGCCATGCCTTCAGCTTTTTTTCATTTATATTTTCAAGTTAACTCTCCTATTTCCCCAGCCCACATATTTATACTATTTACTATTTACATACTTCCTGATGTAGCATGTATGCCAAATATATACCACTATGCCCATTTTTTTTTTTTTTTGGTTGAGATGAGGTCTCATGAACTTTTGGCTGGAGCTGGCCTCTAACTTTGATCCTCCCAATCTCTGTCTCACAAGAGGCTGGAGGATTATAGGCAGGAGTTACTATACCCAGCTAAGGAAGTTCCTTGAAACAAAAATGTAACAGAATTCCAACTAAGGAGATAAGAGTGTCATAAAATTTAGAGAAAACAAGACCTAAGAAAGCAGATAAAGGAATGGGAGAAAATAAACTATAAAACTTGTGTGATTAAACCCATATGGAATATTGGTGTGGTATAGGTAAATAGATCAGTGGAGAACAGAATCCAAAATAAAATGTAGTTTATCTGATACTGTAACATTTAACAAAATGCATTTCAAGTTGATTGGGGGAAGAGTGAAGATTTAGTAATTGATGCCTTGCTACCCAACTTGCTACCCATAAGGTAGAAACAATCCCCTTATCCTGGAAACAAATTCCAGATGGAATCAATGCTTAAACATAATTAACAAAGCATCAGAAGCTAGAAGAAAACCTAAAAGATACAATCTGTTTCTCAACCAGAAAAAAATAGCCATCTTTGAGTTCATAAAAGTTAAAAGCAATTTATGCTACAAAAACTATCATAAACAAAACTAATAACCAACACTAGATTTGGTGAAATTTGTGCAAAATATATAACAGTGAGTTAATCCATCATTACCAGGATGTAAAGAGCTCAAAAATACTGGCAAGAGGCAAGGGGGGAAGCAGGGAAAGACTTGAAAATGGAGTTCATGAAGGGAAACAAGAGGGTTTTTTTCTTTGTTTCTTTTTTCATTTTCTTTTTATCCTATTTGTTCATTTATGTTTTTGGAAGTGTAAGGAAAGACAGAGAATTGGAGTGTCAAAGGGTAAACAAATGCAGCAATGGTACTCACTAGACACAACGCTGAAAATGAACTAAACAACTTGCAGGTGGGGATGGGAGGAAAAAACTGGGGGAGAGCAAGGGAAAGGTGATATTGTCCAAAAAGAAATTAACTCTTTACCTGACCTATATAAATAACAATTAAAAAATTTAAAAAAAAGAAAATGGAGTTCATGAGAACAAATATACCAGCCACTAGCCACAGCCCTAAAAATGCTCAATTCAGAAATATTTAGAGAAACACAAATTACACTAAAATAATCATCACTTGATGGCTAACCAAATAAGATTTACAGAATAATAATACCAATTGATAACAGAATGAAGAAATACACATTTACAGCTATTTTGAAAGCAGTTTGATGAGTATGTTTACATTAGGAATACAGAGATAATTCAACCAACAGATCAACACCCCTAGGATGTAACTTATTAATATAAAATCATTGGTATCATTATTATATAGAGTTGGGATAAAGGGACAGAGGGAGAGAAGGAAGGAAGAAAGGAAGGGAAGGGAGAAAGTTTCTTGCAAGGGAAATAAATAATGGCATACCTATAGTTTACAATATTAAGCAGTCATTAACAAGAATGAATTCAAGCTACACATCTGACACAAAGGGATTTTCCTAGATGTGTCTTCGAGTGATGAAAGTGAGATGTAGAGAAGGGTAAACACTATGACTTCATTTTCAAAAACACGTATTGATCAAAAGATATAAATGTATGTGCCCAAATGTGTCTATGTGTCTGCTGTGCATATGTGAAACAGAGATAGAAAGAATGTAACCTCAGACATCCACCCAGAAGACCAAACCAGTTTTTATCATTTGTAAAGTGGGAGGATAAAGTACATTAAGGGCTAATAATGTACACTTTAAAATAAATACTGGGAAGATGAAACAAAGGCAATTTATGAACAAGAAAATGAATTAGGTATTACTTAGTACCTACCTCACAGGACCTGTTGTACAGATTAACCAAGATAATTCATATAATGTACCTACCATATTTCCCAACATACTATAAGTACTCAATAACTGTAAACTATTTTTTATTAAAAAAATAAAGCAGTGGAAATTATGAAGCTGAAAATGAAATGTGCACAGAGCAAGGTTTCCCTATGACTAATCTGCTCTCCCTTGGATTCCAAGGACCTATGTTATCATAACCATACAGCTCATTAACATATTTCCTTCCTTCCTTCCTTCCTTCCTTCCTTCCTTCCTTCCTTCCTTCCTTCCTTCCTTCCTTCCTTCCTTTCTTCATTCCTTCCTTTCTGCCAGTCCTTGGGCTTGAATTCAGAGCTTCAGGACTGTCCCCGAGCTTCTTTTGCTCAAGGCTAGCACTCTACCACTTGTGCCACAGCACCACTTCCAGCTTTTTCTGTTTATGTGGTACTGAGGAATCAAACCCAGGGCTTGAAGCATGCTAGGCAAGTACTCTACCACCAAGCAACCTTCCCAGTCCCATTAACACATCTTCATCAAAAGTAAAAAATAAAATATCGATTAGACAAATAAAGGGCTTACACAATAAAAAAGCTACTTTACGACCTTGAAAAACCATCATTAAGGGCCTATGCTTTTTTTTTTTTTTGGTTGGTTGGTTAGTTGTGGGGCTTGAACTTAGAGCCTGGGTGCTGTCCTTGAGCCTCTGTGCTCAGGCAGCTTTCTACCACTTGAACCTCAGTACCACTTCCAATTTTCTACAGGGTTAATTGGAGATAAATGTCTCACAGACTTTTCTGCCCACTCTGGCTTCAAACCACAAACCTCAGATCTCAGCCTCCTGAGTAGCTAGGATTACAGGCACGAGTTACCAGCACCCAGCTGATCCTATGTTTTTCTGTTCCAACATTTCAAAGGAAGAATCTGTGGACTCTGGTCATGGGCACATGTTGGAGGAATCTAGGGAGGATGGCTTCATAGACTATGGAATGATATGACAGCTTTTTTTTTTTTTTGGCCAGCCCTAGGGTTTGAACTCATGGCCCGGGCACTGTCTCTGAGCTTCTTTTGCTCAAGGCTAGTAATCTACCACTTGAGCCACAGTGCCACTTGCAGCTTTTTCTGTTTATGTGGTACTGAGGAATCCAACCTAAGGCTCTATGCATGCTAGGTAAGCACTCTGCCACTAAGACACATTCCCAGCCCATGACAGCTTTTCTTAAAGCCTGCCCAACTAGGAAGTCTACTCCTCAACAAGGAAATGTCACCCTAACTCTGTGAATTTCTTGCTAACCTACCTAGAGAATGTGGGTTTAATTATAATCTACAGACTAAATCTTGCCCTGTTTTTATTACTCAATGAAATACTAAAATAGCTAGGAAAGATTCACCCACATTAGCCTTACTACTCACATGGAATTGACCTTCTCTTCAGGCCCTTGCACTTGGCCAGTCACAGTGCCTTTGCTGGTGTTCTTCACCCAACCAACCACTCCTACTTTCTTGGCTTCACCTTCTGTGTACTGGTTCAGGAGCAAACAAGGGACATGAGTCCATCGTCAAAAGTCAGAACTCATAACTTACTCAGTTCTATTATTAAGAAATGCTAAGCTGATGATCATTTTTTTCTCAAATACAGTCTATGCCAACAATTGCTATAACAATCATTCTTTATAGGAACCTTCATTTAAATGGCATATTTTGTGAAGTTGTACTTTCAGTAAAGACAAGTATAATATTAGAAAGTAAATCAACTAAAACTGGGTATTACTTCATAGATACTTTCTATGATGTATTTTGGAATTCATAAAATTCAGCTGGATTTCTCTCACACTGGCTAACTGTGAATTGAATTGTTAATCTGGATTACAAAATAAAAGTAATCCAAGATTCTCAATCACTGACCAAAAAAAATTCTAGTATGATCAGCATAAAGCATTCACAGGTTAAAACAGAAGCAAAAACATCTTGAGACTTCCAACCAAATTTCCAACCAAGTTAAGAGGAAATAATTTTAGTAAGAAAATTAAACTAACAAGAATACTAGTCCAGACATGCTGGTTGTCAGAGTTATTGCATGATTAAAAGATTCTGTTGTGTTTTCCATTGGTTCTGGACTTGCCACAAACTGATATAATTATCTCTGGCCAAATTAATCTAACCTATTATTCTGAAGGTAAGCTTTATTGGTGTTTTTCTTTTCAAAATTCCTTTTCACAGTTTCAGATTCAGTTATGCTTCTGGAAAATGAAAATGAAACATGTTGAGATTACATTATTTTAATCATGTCACACTAAAAAGCTCTTCCACCAGAGTGCTTCAGAAGGATACTCTTCTGTTTGGAGGTCAATATGGCCAAGATCTCCATCAAGATTTAACTGGGTAGCCGGGCCCTGGTGGCTCACGCCTGTAATCCTAGCTACTCAGGAGACTGAGATCTGAGGATCGCGGTTCAAAGCCAGCCCCGGCAGGAGAGACCGTGAGACTCCTGTCTCCAATAAACCACCAGAAAACCAGAAGTGGCATTGTAGCTCAAGTGGTAGAGTGCTCGCCTCAAGCTGAAGAGCTGAGGGACAGTGCCCAGGCCCAGAGTTCAAGCCCCACGACCGACCAAAAAAAAAAAAGATTTAACTAGGTAAAGCCACACTAACAAAAATGATTGCAGCTAAGACAGAGGAAGAGTTGGTTTGAAAACAATCAAAATACAACTGAAATTGGAAGCAATTGGAACATAGAGCCATCTCACAATACAGAGACTCCATTGGTGGGAACACACTGGACTTTCAGAGGTTGGAAGTAAAATGACTCAGCTCAGATAGTAACTGAGAACTCAGTCAAAACTTTTAGAAAACAATTTTAATTTTAAGTAAAAATTTAGAAAGAGACACAGAATTTTAACTATAGAAATTCTGGGAACCCTTCCATATATAACATTTGCCTTTTTCTATCAGAACATCTGGGAAGTCTCATACTTAATATTCATTATACCTCTGAAAATGTTTCTCTTGAATCACCAAGAGAGAATACTTTTAAAATTCACAGGAAACATTAACTAAAAGCTGGGGAACCTGTAATGTTTTTAATAGAGTAGGGTTTTTATGTTATTGTTTTTTTTGCGGGGAGAGGATTGTGTGTGCCAATCATGGGGACTTGAACTCTGGGACTGGGAACTGTCTCTGAGCTTTTTTGTTCAAGGCTAGCACTTTTCCACTTGAATTACATATTCACTTCTGGCTTTTTGGTGCTCAATTAAAGATATGAATTTCATAGAGTTTCTTAACTATGATCACAGATGTGAGCCACAAGCACCTAGCTATTATAGACCAGTGTTTTAACTTTTAATAAAAAACACAATCAGTAAATTCAAGGAAAATCCATGCATTTCATTTGCTGTCAAAGACAAACTAGACTAACATTATGTAGAAAATTTCTATATCTGCGATTAAAAATAACTGAAAACGGCAAAAATAAACAGATTGTATTGACTTACCATTCTGAAGCAAACACCTGCATAAAAGAAAGACAAGAAATAATGTCAGCTTTTGTACCTTTACCTTTTCAAATTTCACTACGACTTACTAAAAAAGTAGTTCACTTCTGCTCAAGCTGTTTATATAATGAAAAGTAATAACGCCCTTACACCTATGTGTCCACAGTCTTTCAACCAACCTATTGCAAGCACTTCCTCAACAGATCTCCCTGCTTCCAGGGAGGCCTTCTGCAAGGCACTCTTCAGAAATCAACCACATTAGTTTTCTTAAGCAAAATATATCACTTCCTCCACCAGCTTCAAACACTTTAGTGACTGCCCATGATACTCAAAACAAAATAAATTCTGGTTTCCAAGTTCTCCATGCTCCTGACCAATGCTTATCCCTCATCTCTTAGCACTTGGTCTTCACTCACTCCTTTGGGCCTCTTTGGGACCCTTAAACATGCCGAAGAGATTACCTGTTCATGGTCTTTCATCAACTATTTGTTCTGCAGAAATGCTCCTCTCCTCATCTTTTCAGGTCTAACCTTTTCTTATGATTATCATCTCTGTACAAATGTCACCACCTTAGCAAACATCCCTTATTTACCCAAAACAACAACACCCGCAATGTTTCCTACACATATGTAGTACTGATTACTATATGCAATTATTATATACTTACTTGTGTTTTATAATTTTTGTTTTGGTACTGGTACTAGAGCTTAAACTCAGGGTCTGGGTATTGTCCCTTATGACTGGTGCTCTACCACTTGAACCTACATTTCCAGCTCTCTGCTAGTTAGCTGGAGATAAAGAGTCTCATACACTTTACTGCCCAGGCTGGCTTCAAACTGCAATCCTCAGATCTCAGACTCCTGAGTAGCTAAGATTCAATCATGAGCCACTGGCACCCAGCTTATTTTCTTGTTTTATTCCCTGTCTTCATGGTAAACTATGAATTCTATGACAGTAGGATTTTTTTTCTGTCTTGTTCAACCAACATCTTGATCACAGCTGGTCACATAGTTGTTGAATAAATGAATGAAGGAAAAACTATCTGACGAATATTTATGAAAAATACATAACTGTTCATAATATTACTAATATACATATCACCATATTGATTAGAATTTAAGTTTCTGTGATGTATTTAAGTGGTGATAACTCAATTTACAACATTCAAAAGAATCTCAAGACAGCCAGGCACTGCTAGCTCACAACTGTAATCCTAGCTATTCAGGAGGCTGAGATCTGGAGATCACCATTTGACCATTTGAGCCAGCCCAGGCAGAAAATTCCCAAGACTCTTATCTCCAATAAACTACAAAAAGAGCTAGAAGGAGAGCTGTGGCTCAAGTGGTAGAATGCTAGCCTTGAGCAAAAGAAGCTCAGGGACAGCACCCAGGCCCTAAATTCAAGACCCAAGACAAGAAAAAAAAAATCTCAAGAATTATATGTTGATTTGGGCCAAGCTTTAACTAGAAATATTATATAGGAACTGGTAATATAATGTACATGTATGTATATGCCTACATATAAGCATATCATATTGATATATATGATGAATATAACTATAAAAGAGTTACTAATGTGTAAGCTGACACCATGTTCATAACATTAGGTATATATACAGTACACATACAAATCATAAAGACATAACAATCACAATTACTAAAAACAGAAATACTTCAATGCTAGTCTCATTTGACTCTCTAGGAACAGGAATAGTAAACTGAAACAGGATATGGTGGTTATCATTTATATCATCAGTCTTCCTGTATTAATTTGATTTAAATTTCCAAAGTTTTAAATGTAAAAGTATTTGTACTTATGATTAATAAGACTACATACACATATTGGCAGCACTGGGGATTTGAACTCAGCACCTTGTACTTGCTAGGCTGGTGTTCTACTACTTGAGCCACTCTGCCATCCCTTTTGTGTGGGTTATTTTTAGGGTCTTACTTCATGACTGAACTGGCCTGGACTATGATGCTTGTATGGGTCACTGGGACAGCAAACAAAAGACACTGCACCTAGCTACTAGTTGATTCTTTTTTTTGGGGGGGGTCTGGTTGTGGGGCCTGAACTCTGGGCCTGGGCGCTGTCCCTCAGCTCTTCAGCTCAAGGCTAGCGCTCTATCACTTGAACCACAGCACCACTTCCGGCTTTTTTCTTTTTGCTTATGTGGTGCTGAGGAATCGAACCCAGGGCCTCATGCATGCAAAGCAAGTGCTCTACCACTGAGCTACCTTCCCAGCCCCCTAGCTACTAGCTGAGACAAGTCCCACAAACTTTTTACCTCAGATTTTTACCTCCCAAATAGCTAGGCTTGAGCCATTGTACCCAGCCCTTCTTTTAAGAACTTAAAATAGTAGCACTACAGAATTCATTGAAAATTAAGAGGCTAATTTAGGTTAATTTTAGGCTAAGCTCATACTGACAAAATAGATAAGTATTATTCATTACTTTAGACAGTGACAAGTAGGATAAAAAGACAAATACATCTTATGTGAAAAAACCCAATACATATTAATTGAAATTTAAGTTGTAGTGGCTATAGATCTGATATTTGGAGATTGTAACTATGTAGATCAGTCTTTCTGTAGTGTCTTTTTGGAGTCACTATGTGAGAAAGGATACTAAACATAACAATTATATTTACAAATTTATTCACTAAAAAATACCTATGAGTAGGCCAGGCAGCAGCGATTCATACTACTCAGGAGGCTGAGGATTAAAGTTCAAAGCCAACCCAGGGAGAAAAGCCCCCGTCAGACTCTTTTAACTCCAACTAACTATTCAAAAAAAAAAAAAGGAAGTGGCACTTTGGCTCAAAGTGGTAGAGTGCTAGCCTTGAGCAAAAGAGCTCAGGCCCCAAGTTCAAGTGCCACAACTGGCACATGCATGCACACGCACGCACACACAACACACAAACTCACCCCTATGGCAGATACTGCTGGTTGCATATATAAAGTTCATTCTCTTCTTCTATCTTACAGAACTCTGATTTCATTTGGTGGCAACCAATGTGACCTCCTGTGTTTCTCAAGGGGTTTTTCTATAGGGTGGTCAGGTCATTGGTTGAGGCTTTCGGTAAAGCTCTTCCAAAGGGACTCACTCATCCAAGGTTATTGCACCAGAACCCTTTCTCTTCTTGACTTTATATGAATCTAATGACTGGAGTTGTAACAGCCACTTTGAACCCCTGAGGGAAAGACCAACAAAATCTGAGGCTTTGGGCCTGACCTTTTAAGTTGGTAGGTTGTTTCGTTTTTTGCTAGGGTTTGAACACAGGGTCTGTTTGCAAGTCAGGTACTCTACTAGTTAAGCCACACTGTCCAATCTTCCTGCTTTGACCATTTTTAGATACATTCTCATTTTTCCCCATGCTGGCCTGGAACACAATCTTCCTACCATAGCTGAGGTGACAATAAAAGCCCAGCTTTCATTGGATGAGACGGGGGTTTCAGGAACTTTTTGCCTGGACTTGTCTTGAATCATGTTCCTCCAGATCTCAGCCTCCTTTCTTTGCTTTCTTTTTCTTTTTTTTTTTTTTTTTCTGTGCCAGTCCTGGTGCTTGAACTCAGGGCCTGGGCTCTGACCCGAAACTTTTGTGCTCAAGACTAGTGCTCTACCACTTGAACCACAGCTCCATTTCTGGCTTTTTCTGATTAGCTTATTGGAGATAAGAGTCTCACAAACTTTCCTTCCCAGGATGGCTTCTAACTGCAATTCTTAAGATCTCAGCCTCTTGATTAGGTAGACATAAACCACTAGTCTTGTTTGTTTTCCCCAGTCCTGAGGCTTGAACTCAGGGCCTGGGCACTGTTCCTGAGCTTCTTTTTCTCAAGTCTAGCACTCTACCAATTGAACCACAGCACCACTTCTGACTTCTTGTTTGTTTATGCAGTACTGAGAAATCAAACCCAGGACTTCATGCATGATAGGCAAGCACTCTACCATTAAGTCACATTCCCAGCCCTTTTTTTTGTTTTGTTTTGCTTTGTTTTGGTCAGTCATGGGGCTTGAACCCTGGGCCTGGACGCTGTCCCTCAGCTCTTCAGCTCAAGGCTAGCACTCTACCAATTGAGCCATAGCACCCACTTCCAGCTTTTTTTTTTAATGTGGTTATATGGTGCTGAGGAATTGAACCCAGGGCCTCATACATGCGAGGCAAGCACTCTACCACTGAGCCACCTTCCTAGCCCTTTTTCTTTTTCTTTAAGATCAGAGACCATAACTCAAACTCAGTACCTGGCTCAGTGGTTGGCAATCTACCAACTGAGCCACATTTCCACCTCTCACCTCAGCCTCCTTAGTAGCTAAGATTACAAGAATTCCTGGCTACCATCTACCCTGCCCTGACTCCTCCACAGGGACACAGTGCTTATCTAATAGGAGAAGCATGTGTAGGCCAGATGCTTCCTCTCTTTCCCTCTGCTGGGAGCAAGGTACCACCAGGAATTAGACCTTTGTGGGGATGTTTAATTCTACAGTACAGATCTTTAAAAGTCACATTCCCAAAATTCCACTCTCCTGTTTTCCTTCTCAATAACTCAAATAAGAGAAAAGGGTGGTATTTATGGAGCCCCTCAAATACTCTCTATTTTAAATCCTTAAAAGAAATGTGTGTCAAGGAGTCTCAAGACCTCCAGCTTGTTAATTCTGAGAAGCACTGTGCCATCTGGAAAGCAAGTATTTCAAGTTCCATCACCCACTCGACATATTCCAAGTTCTTTTTGATAAACTTGTGCAGTTTATCAGTGTTGACTGGAGCACAGCACTCAGGTCAGGGCCTCTGTTGGAGAAGATGCTTTGTATGGGCTTTTAGGGCTGTGCACTGCTTTCTGCCTGGCTTGCTAAAGAGAAGAGAAGCTGATGTGACACATTGCTCTGGAAACTGGAGCAGACATCAGCCTTTCAGTCTTGGACAACACAGTCAAAATTCAGTCAGCTGCAACTATTCCTTACTTTGTGGAAAGATGGATCAGTAGGAAACCTGAGGTGAATATTTGCAAAGCAAATGTACTTTAAATCTACAAAGAAACATTGATATTTCCAGAAACCATATGAATTTTTAAATGTCAGCATGGAAAATCGAATTTTCATATTCTGATAAACCCCTTCATCTGGGACCTGACTGCATATGTAAATTTTGAGTGCAGAAGGTAATCTAGCCACTAGTTTAAAAAGCATTCCTTAATGATTTTTTAATGCCTTTCGCTTTGCTTATAAGGAATAAAATTCTGCCTCACTCAATATTTCCCTGTGACCCAAGATCTGGTCCCAGGAGCCATACACACGGCATCATTCAAATAGTTAAAACAGCCCTGTATCACTATTCCTTCTAAAGAGCTATCTTCAGGCAATTCAGTGTAATTTAAAACCTACTGAAAGTCTCACCAGAGGCACAGCCCTGAAGAGAACAAAACACCAGCCTGACTTTTAAAATATTATATCTATCATTTAGTGAGAGACACAGTCCTGTATATATTACAGGTATTTAAATAACTAATGCAGTGGAAAGCAGAATGGATAGATGGAAACCAAAACCAGAAGTATAATGGAGCCTCGCAATGGTGGCTCATGCCTATATTCTTAGCCACTGAGGCTGAGATCTGAGGATCTACAAGTCTCTTATTTCAAGTTCACCAGCAAAAAGCTGGAACTGAGCAAAGGAATGGGTGATTTTGTCCACAACAAAATGTACTTGAGCTGGGTGTTGGTGGCTCATGCCTGTAATCCTAGCTACTCAGATCTATGAGATCTATGGATCATGGTTCAAAGCCAGCCTGGGCTGGGAAGTCCATGAGACTCTTATTTCCAATGAACTGGAAGTGGCGCTGTGGCTGAAAGTGGTGGAGTGCTAGCCTTGAGCAAAAAGAATTCAAGGACAGCACCCAGACCTTAAGTTCAAATGACCAGAAAAAGAGATATAGTTCTCTATTTTATGAACATACATGCCCATGCATATATTCATGTATCATGCAGATTGCAGAAAATTCTAACAGGGTAAGCAGTAAGAAATTCTCAAGCACATCAATAGGATAAAATTCTCTGAGGATATGTAGAACATCAGATTCAATTCAAGAATGATGTAAATTTTTCCAGTTAGAAACCTTTATTTTAAATGAATGAGTGAATATTAATGACCACAGTATTTACTCCCATTGGATAAATTTCAAGGAGTGATTTAATGTTGCAATTTATAACTACTATTTACAATAAGTCAGCCACTACCACCTTTTAAACTAAATATATAATGAAATGTAAATTAGGTAGCACTTCTTTTAAGAATTGAGATGTCTCTGTAACCTTGAAAAAGACAACTGTCAATATTATTTCAATGTCCTAAAAATTTCAAGTCAAGCCCAAGTAGTTTCAATGGCAAGTAACAGGACAAGTAATTTAAACACCTTCTGTTATTTTCCTTTCCATTTTTAAAAAATTCGTTTAAATGTAAAAATTATTTTTGGGCTGGCAATGTGGATCAAGTGATAGAGTGCTAGCCTGGAGCTAAAGAAACTCAGGAACAGTGCCCAGGCCCTGCGTTCAAGCCCCAGGACTGGCAAAATAACTAAATTAATAATCTTTAAAGTTATACAAAAGGGTTTCAATTTCACATGTCAATTTAGAAGTACAATGCACATTTGTTTTTTTTTTTCCTTTTTGGGGCCTGAACTCAGGGCCTGGGCGCTGTCCCCGAGCCTCTCGGTGCCCAAGGCTAGCGCTCCACCACTTGAGCCACAGCGCCACTTCCAGCTTTTTCTGTGTATGTGGTGCTGAGCAGTCCCAGGGCTGCATGCATGCTAAGCAAGCGCTCTACACTGAGCCACCTTCCCAGCCCCGTACAACGCACCTCGATTCAAGTCAGATCACCCCCTCTCTCCCAAGCCCCCCACCCCCTCACTGGGTCCCTTTTCTCGTAAGCACATGGCACGTTGTGACTCTGCTCGCCCACTCTTCCTCCCTCCACTCATCCGCCCGCACCCCCCCCCGCACATTGCACGTAGTGACTCTGCTCTCCCACTCTTCCTCCCTCCACTCATCTGCCCGCACATTGCACATTGTGACTCTGCTCGCCCACTCTTCCCCTCTCCACTCTTCCGCCCGCACCGCCCCCCCCCGCACATTGCACATAGTGACTCTGCTCGCCCACTTTTCCTCCCTCCACTCATCCGCCCGCACATTGCACATTGTGACTCTGCTCGCCCACTCTTCCCCTCTCCACTCTTCCCCCGCACCGCCCCCCCCGCACATGGCACGTTGTGACTCTGCTCGCCCACTCTTCCTCCTTCATCTGCCCGCACTGCCGCCCCACGTGTCCACTTCTCAGTACTCATTTTGTTCAAAGTAACTTGACTGTTGGATTTTCCTACTCTTGGTAACCTTTCCCTTTGGACCGCAAGGCCACGGCTCCCAGCAGCCCTCCGCCCTCCGCCCCAGGCCCTCCTCTCCCCTCCCCGCTTTCCACCCCCCGTGGGCCCAGCTCTTCCTCTCCCTTCTCTCCCCGGCCGAGCCCAGCTTCCGCGCATGCGCACTTCGCCTCCTTTCCCATCCGCGCTTGCTGTGTCATGGCTGAGCGGAAGTCCCGTCCTAGAGGAAGAGGCCTTCACAAGATGGAAGGTTCTCCTCCGAACTTTCTGCACTCCGTCCCCAGGCCCTATGTGGGTCTCCCACTGCAAGGCGGCTCCTACCCTGCACTCGGCCGAACACCTCGTAGTCCACGGACTTGAGTGGCTGTGCGGTGGACATGGCGGCGCGCCCTCTCCCGAGGAGCCGGAGCGGGCTGCGGGGCGCGGCGAGTGCGGCCACCGGGAGGAGGCACATGGGGGCGCCGGACGCACCCGCGCCTGGCACCGGCCCGGGACGCGAGCGTGGCGGGGTCACGCGTCAGAGGCCGCAAATGAGACGGCGGGGAAGGGGACGGGGACGGAGGTGGGGGCGTCGTGCGCCCGCCCCCTGCACTGAAGAGGGGCTGAACCACACCTAGACAGGCGGCGGTGGCCGCGCGCTTGGACCCTGGGTACACCTGGAGGAGAGAGCCAGGCAAGGTCACCCCCACCCCGCCTCCCTGGAGGAGACAGCCGCGGGGGTCCAGGATGACGCCTCTGACCGCACTTCAGCCTCTCCTCCAGGCCCAGCGTTGCTGCTGCGCAGACGCAAGCCCGCCAGTTTGAGTAGGAAACACGCCCAGGCACCTGCCGGTCTATCAGATGATGTTGAGGCATTTCCTAGGACGGGGTCTGCAAGCTTTTCAGCAATTCTATGTCACAAAGGCCTGTTATCCCTATAGTAAAGAGATGGTGGTATTTTCCGGAACAAGAAAAACTTTTCAAGAATATGAATTTAGTAAGAAAGGAAATGTACTCATTACCTGACTCATGTAATTGTAATCCCTCTGGACATCACCTTGATAATAACAAGTTAATTTAAAAAAAAATCTTGAAGCCGGGTGCCGGTGGCTCACGCCTGTAATCCTAGCTACTCAGGAGGCTGAGATCTGAGGATCACGGTCAAAGCCAGCCCGGGCAGGAGAGACCGTGAGACTCCTATCTCCAATAAACCACTAGAAAACCGAAGTGGCGCTGTAGCTCAAGTGGTAGAGCGCTCGCCTTGAGCTGAAGAGCTGAGGGACAGCGCCCAGGCCCAGAGTTCAAGCCCCACAACCGCCAAAAAAAAAAAAAAAAAAATCTTGAGTTCTCTCATGTTGGTGGGAACAAAAAACATTGTAGTCTTGTCTGCTGACTGGAAATACTTGTGTATGTGAGATTAGATAGATAAATAGATAGAGATAATTGCTTGACAACATCTCAGTTGCCTAGGACAGTGAAAACACTTGAGGGAATTTTATTTCGTGGTGAGCTATTATAAAGTCTTACTTTATTAACCCATCATTCCAAAGGATATGGAGACAGCTTTTGATAATCTGCTACCCTCTGCAGTTCAAGTCCCTTGAATGCACGAGAATTTGCATTTCTAAACTTATTTGTTCTCCTCAATACCTTTATTTTTTTTAACCTGGCCACGTGGTCAAAATAATCCACTAAAACCCCATTATCAATACTGTGTATCAGGTCTATCAGGGAACACCAAAAACCCATCTTATAAATTAATAGAATATGTTTAAATACCTTCTTGAGGTAAAATACATTCTGGGCGTTAGTCTGGGTAATTTTTTTTCCTTTTTTTTTTTCTTTGTTGGTCAGTTGTGGGTCTTGAACTCTGGGCCTGGGCACTGTCCCTCAGCTGTTCAGCTCAAGGCTAGCGCTCTACCACTTTAGCCACAGCACCACTTCTGGTTTCCTGGTGGTTAATTGGAGATAAGAGTCTCACAGACTTTCTTGCCTGGGCTGGCTTTGAACCTCGATCCTCAGGTCTCAGCCTCCTGAGTAGCTAGGATTACAGGTGTGAGCCACGGGTACCCTGATACTCTGGGTAATTTTATAAAGTCTTGGTGTATTGTAGAGACTTCACAGTTCATCTCTTCCTCTCATTTCCTTTACAGTTAACTTATGTAGACTATGGATTAGCAGGGGTTCTTTTCTGCTAATATTGGGGCTTGCTTGAACTCAGGGCCTGGGCACTGTCCTTTAGTTTTTTTCCACTCAAGCCTAGCACTCTACCATTTGAGCCAAATTCCAATTTCCAACTTTTTGGTGGTTAATTAGAGGTAAGTCTCATGGTCTTTCCTGTCAAGGCTGGTTCGATGCTGGCTTTTAATCCTCAGATCTCAGCCTCCTAAGTAGCTAGGATTGTCTGTGAGACAAGGTCTTCCTATGTAGACCAAGGCTGTCCTCAAATTTGTGATCCTTTTGCCTTAGCCTCCGAAGTGCTGTAATTGCAGGCATACTTTACCACACCCAGCTCAACATAGATTTTAAATAATGCTTTTAAAATATCTTGAAGAGTCTTTCCATCACATTTAGAATTAGTCCTAAGTCTTCATTCTCCACTAACCTTCTTGTTACCTGCTTTCCCAGATCTTATAGGTGGCCTAAAGTCAAGGCATTGCACAGAAAGCTTTAAAAATAAAAAAAAGACAAATTCTACTCTTGATCTGCAATAGCCTCTGCAGCAGCAAACTCTGGCTTGCCAGATTTCATCATCATTATTAGTGTGTTCTTCCCTCTGCTTCTGTGTCTTCCAAATCGCTGTTGAGAGGGTTGACATTTTCCTTTTCCTAATCTATCCTTGATTTTGCTTCACATTTACACAAGATTACCCCTGCCAATTATCACATAGCTTTAACTTGAGAAGTGCTATAGCAACAACTGACATTTGCTTAGCTACAAAGTTTACTTTGTCTGCCAACAGCCAACCATTAGCAAATAGAAATTTTTAGGTACCATTTCAGCATGGACTGCCAATAAGTTGTGATTCTAAGACTTTAGAATTTTTAAGCAAATATTTCCAAATTTTAAACTAACTTTGAACATTTAACTGTTGACTTTAGAAGTTCTAAGCATCTAACAATTTTAGAAAACTCTAGAGAAATTTTTGAAAAAAATCCATAATTCTAGCACAATTATTATCTTTTGTATTCCCTTTCCCCTCTCCATACATGCATATATATGCAGTATGAATTCAGCAATAACAGAAATATAAAACATGTCAAGCGGTGACTCATACCTGTAATCCTAGCTACTCAAGAGGCTGAGATCTGAGAATCGCTGTTCAAAGGCAGCTGAGGCAGGAAAATGCATGAGACCATTATCTCCAAATAACCACCAAAAAGCCAGAAGTAGAGCTTTACTTCATGTGGTCAAGCACCAGCCTTGACTGAAAAAGCTAAAAGACAGTGTACAAGCACTGACTTCAACCTCCAGTACTAACATACACATACACACACACATACACACATTTAAATACTTATGCTATAAGTTCTAATTTATTATTTATATTCATGTTGCAGTCTTTCCAATAAATATTTTAATAATTATCAAAATGGATATTACATTTATCAAGATCCATTATACTCATAATCTGGCTTGTGGAATTGAAATTTTACTTAAAATAAGTAAAAGCCAGGTGCAAGTGGCTCATGCCTGTAATCCTAGCTACTCAGGAGGCTGAGATCTGAGGATCATGGTTCAAAGTCAGCCTAGGCAGGAAAGTCTGTGAGACACTCATCTCCAAATAACCACCAGAAAACCAGAAGTGGCACTGTGGGTCAAAGTGGTAGAGTGTAAAAGAGCTCAGAGACAGTGCCCAGCCCCAAGTTCAAGCCCTATTTAAATCCTTTTTATATTCAAACTACTCATTTTTTCATTACCATAAAAATATTGTGAAGGAAATATTCATGCATGTTACTTCCTTCCATATTTTTACATTATAAGTTAAAATACTTATAAATTAAAGGAATTAGATCAAGGAGTCTGAGAATATACTGTTCATGATCCATACTGACAAATGTTTCAAAGAACTTACCAACTTAAATATAATATCACCAACACTGAACATGATTAATATATATTTTATGCTAGCAAATGTATCCAAGCTCTTCACATTTACATAATTAAAGTGAAATGTTTGAGGAGAGAGAGAGAGCGTGCACTGGACCTGGGGCTTGAACTCAGGGTCTGGGCACGTCCCTGCACTTTTGTGCTCTAGCAAATGTGGCTCTAATCACATAACAAGAACTTGCCTCAAAAACAATTGATAAGTAAATATATACTAGCACCTGGCTGGTTTGTTGTTTTGGGTGGTGTGTAAATGTATACAAATGTATTGACTGAAACAAAGTAGGTTCAAAGGAGAACTCAAATACTGTAATTTCTTAGAAAGGCAGAATCAAAGTTCAGCAAAATAAAACACCAGAAAAGAGCTATTTGAAAGGGGTGGGGTGGGGTTAAGGGGGAGGGGTGAACTAATGAAGAGAAGAGGAGGAAAATGCAGACTAGAATCCAGTGTATTTCCTACAAAATTAAGTAGAATGAGGGAAAGGGTGGGTAGGGGAAGAATGGGTGACTGGTCAAGATATACTGTCTTCAAACTGCTTTGTTAAATGGCAGCTCCCTTGTACAACTACCTAAAGATTAAAAAAAAAAAAGTCTCACAGTCTTTCCTGGCCTGACTGGCTTCAAATTGTGATCATCAGATCTCAGACTTCTTGAGTAGCTAGGATTACAGGTGTGAGCACCAGAGCCTGGAAAAAGTGTGCCTTTTATAACCTGAACAACTTAGGAATAACTAAGCTCTATTATGACTGGTTGAAATTAAAACCTCGCTAGGTTATTCTCTTCCTTGAATCCTTTAAAACAATTCATGTTAGAGGATCATGTTTAATATAATGTGTAGCAGGGGAACATCCTTCCTGTATAATATTGGTGTGAAAGATGGCCAGGCACTAAAACCTGTGAAACCAAAGTAGACAACACTGTCCCTGTGTCCAAAAGACATTTGAATTTCGGAGGCACCACCTAAAAATCTCTAATTTATCATCACTACAAACAGTTGAGAGTGATTCCTAGAATGATATATTTGACATTTGATTTTAAGATTTAATTAACTTCCCTGGATGCTGGTAGCTCATACCTGTAATCTTAGCTACTCAGGAAGGCTAACCCCTGAAGATTGTGGTTCAAAGCCAGCAGAAAAGTCTGAGAGATTTTTATTGTAGACTAACCAGCAAAAATAACCCAGGATTGGAGCAGTGGCTTAAGTGGTAGAGCACCAGCCTTGAACAAAAAGCCAAGCAAGAATGAGAGAGGCCCTGAATTCAAGCCCAGTACTAGAGAAAAAAATGATTTTGATTTCAAGAACAATTCAAGGGCTGGGAAGGTGGTTTGTGGTTACCTTGCATGCATGAAGCCCTAGGTTCAATTCCTCAGTACCATATAAGCAGAAAAAGCCAGAAGTGGCACTGTGGCTCAAGTGGTAGAATGCTAGGCTTGAGCAAAAGAAGCTCAGGAAGCCGGGCACTGGTGGCTCACATCTGTCATCCTAGCTACTTAGAAGGCTGATATCTGAGGATCGTGGTTCAAAGCCAGCCCAGGCAGGAACATCCATGAGACTCTTATCCCCAATGAAACCACTAGAAAATCAGAAATGGTGCTGTGGCTCAAGCAGTAGAGCACTTGCCTTGAGCTGAAGAGCGCAGGGACAGCACCCAGGCCCAGAGTTCAAGTCCCACAACCCGACCAAAAAAAAAA